GCATCTCCAGCCCAGGCATCTCCAGCTGGGACACCTCCAGGCCGGGCATCTCCAGCCCAGGCATCTCCAGCTGGGACACCTCCAGGCCGGGCATCACCAGCCCAGGCATCTCCAGCCCGAGCATCACCAGCCCAGGCATCGCCAGCCCAGGCACCTCCAGTCCGGGCATCTCTAGCCCAAGTATCTCCAGTCAGGGCATCTCCAGCCAGGGCATCTCCGGCTCGGTCCTCACCTTCCAGGTCCTCATCCGGCAGGTCATCATCTGCCAGGTCAGCCTCCGTGACAACCTCCCCAACCAGAGTGTACCTTGTTAGAGCAACACCAGTGGGGGCTGTACCCATCCGATCATCTCCTGCCAGGTCAGCACCAGCTGCCAGGGCCACCAGGGAGAGCCCAGGTAAGGGGGATGCTGCAGGGAAGACAGGAGAGGTGGGAAGCAGCCCATGGGCAGGGAGGAAATCTCAGAGCCAGTGTGCTCTGCTCTCATCGCAGACAATGATGTGGGGAAGGGGAGGCAGCGGGGTGGGCAGTGAGGGACTTGGGGGCAGGGGCAAAAAGGAAACATTTTTGTGAAATGTGAAAACCTGAGACAGTGGAAAATCAGGCGCGAAGCGGGGTAGGTGATAAGAAGCCAGGACTAACAAAGCAGCGTGTCACCCTGGAGTCTGCACAGCCCAGGTCAGAGCACTGGTTTCAGTAGCAAGGTCCCCCAGTTAGTCACAGGGTTCTCTCCTTGTGCTGTCCTGTGGGTCTGCCTAAGAAGCTGGGGTCTGCAGTGGAACAAAGTCATGATCAGCGGGCCCATCTGTGGGTGGGCGAGGAAAAGGAGAGATTCTGACCAGGTGTTCAAGTCCATCCCCAGCCTTCCAAATTGTGGGTTGCATGGTTCACCTATTAGGGAGTCAGAGAGGTCGAATAGGCCTTGGAGACTGGGTCCGCCCTTAAGGAATCAGTGCTTCTGCCCGCCCCAGTGCTGCCCTCCTCCCATCCTAGAATTCAGACTTTCCCCACCACCACAGTACACACAGGCCTGGATGATACGTGGCTTTGGAAGATCACTCGAAGTTTGGGGCCCATCCCACAGCCTGGTCCTCTCCAGGGTGGGTGAGGTGCTTTGGTATCAGACCCACTGCATTGAAATCCCAACTCTGCCACTAACTCACCAAGTAACCCCGGGCAAGTGATTTCACTTCCATGAGCCTCAGTTACCCCATCTATACAATGGGCCTAATAAGACTCTGCTCATGAGGTTGCCGTGAGAATTAAGAGAACACAGGCAGAGTGCCTGGCTGGCCCAGAGAAGAGCCCAGTAAAAGACGGCTGCTGGTGCCAGGCAGGGTGAGCTCAGTTTTTGCATTTTCAGATGGGACAAAATTCATTCATTCATTCCATTGACCTTGTGCCCCATCAAATCTCATTCCAACTTCTGGGGTGGAGTGATCCTCACGGGGCCCTCCTGGGCCACAGCCTTGCTTCCCCCACCCTCTCCACCTCGTCGGACTCCTCTTCAGCCTCACCTTCCCCTGCTGCCGCCCTGCTCCTAGGTACGAGCCTGCCCAAGTTCACCTGGCGGGAGGGCCAGAAGCGGCTGCCGCTCATCGGGTGCGTGCTCCTCCTCATTGCCCTGGTGGTTTCGCTCATCATCCTCTGTGAGTTTAACGGAGGGTGCAGGGGTGGGTTCCGGGCACTGCCAGGCAGAGTGGGACCCAGGGATGGGGGCAGGAAGGGGGGACAGGTGTGGGGACCACCCACTCACCCGGCTACCGTGTCCGGATAGGGACACTCCTGCAAATGGCCTTGGACTGTGCTGCCTCCAGGCCCCTGTGGGGCATCCAGGTTAAGAGTGTGGAAGTCAGAGGAACCTGAACTTGGGTCTCATCTGTGCCACTTACTATGCAGCTTACTTGGGCTGGTTAGTTAACCACTCTGAGCTCAGTTTCTGCATCTTCAGATGGGACAAAATTCATTCACCCATTTCATTACTATGTGCCCCATAAGCTCTCATTCCAACCTCACTAGATTATGAGGAATAAATCAGACAACAGCACAATTCCTGGAACAAAATCTACAAATACTAGCTATTAAAAAAACACACATGAAAACACTGATTGGAAAAAGTCTGTCAAGGATATTCAGTCAATGGGATGATGTGTTCAGCATTCAGGGGTTCAGGCCCCCTCAATTTCCCCATTCTCTTCAGCAAAGATACCCAGGCATGCCCCAGGGCTCTCTGCTCAGGGGTCCACTATGAGCCCAGCACAGTGGGAAACTTTAGGCAGCGCAAATGTGCATGTACATTATTCTGTCCTGTCCTCAGGGAGATTACAGTCTCCTGGGGGAATAGCTGGAAATTTTGAAGGGCAAATGCATTTGAGTGTGACTATGAGGAGGGGATGACAACTGTGTGGGCTGGATGCAGGGGATAGCTTCTTATGGCTGTGGGGCCAGATGAAGACCTGGAAGATGGGACAGCAATTATGCCCAGCAGGGCATCCGAGCGAATGAGCAGCTACAGAAAATGTGGGAAGCCAGGTGGCAACGACAGCATGGGGGAGAGGAAGGGACCTGCCTAACCAGAATGGAGAAGGAACAGTCAGGGACCTGTGGCCGTCTGCTCGGTTCAGCAAGGCTGGGCCCTGCTGTAGAGAGCTTTAAACGCCAGGCCAAAGAGTAAGGTTTCTGTGAAAGAGGCAGCACCAGTGGTGAAGGGTGGAGTGGACCAGCGCGTGGAAACGTCTGCCGGCAGGGCTGTTGAAGGGGATTCTGAGGGAGGGGCAGTGTGCTGGCAGAGCAGGCTTTAGTGCCACGCAGGCCCTGACTCTGCCACTGAGCAGCTGTGTGAATTCGACAAGTCCATTAACATTCTGAGCCTCAGTTTCCCCACCTGTCTGACTGGGTGGGGTGATCACTGTCATAATGCACATAAAGGCCTCGGCATGGTGCCTGCTGTGACTTACTGCCCTGCCCTCCCTCCCTTTCCCACCACAGAGCACCTCGCTCCATGAAAGCCATGGGAATGACCCATGGAGGGGCGAGATGGCACCCATGGGTGGGCTCACAGAATAGAACTAAAGCTCTCAGCGTGGTTTCACAGCATTTCCTGAAGTCCCCATAAGCTCTGCCGGGGAGGCCTCTAACCTCCAGCGCTAGGGAAGTGGCTTGACTTCTGCAGGTCACCGAGCAGCTACCTGGTGGGGTCAGGACCAGAGCCCAGGCCTCCCGACTCCCCACCCGGCCCAGCACCCTCTCCACTACACATCCACGTGGGGCTCCATGAGCACTCCAAGGGAGACTGCCCAGGCTTCTCCGGGGGTTGAGTGCCCAGGATGTGGGAGGAAGACCAGAGCACAGAGAGGAGGGGCCAGCCCAAGAGATTAGGAGGGATTTGTGTCGGGACCTGGACGGAGCAGTCACACACGGGCGGACTTTACCCTGGGTGACAGAGAGCACAGTGGGCCCTGGAAGAGAAGCAAGGGGTGGCGCTGAGGAGCTGGTGGAGGAGGAGAGGCGGGGTGAGAAATTAGAACCTGGATCTGTGAGGCAGCCAACGGGAGGTGCCTCCAGGCAGGAGGGCCCACCGCCCCTGGTTTAGAAAGAGATTGCCGTTAGAGAGGGAGGAAGTCGTGAAGCAGATTTGCACATATGGCTTGTAAAACTGTTTTCTTTTAGCTCCAACTTGTATATGTGGGAATCAGCCACCTAGAATTGCTGATTGAATGAAAAGACATTTAAAGGCATAAAGACAAGTCATGGGGAAAGAACTGAGCATAGGGGTGTCCCTTGTGCAGGGGAGAGGGAGAAGGAAAAACCCAGGAGCTTCTGAGAGTGGAAGGATGGTCGCCTTTGAGAACAGACAGACAGTAGTTGCCTGTGTGACTGTGAGGACAGAAATTTATCTGCTGTGACCCTGTGGAGCACAGAGAAGATGGGACGGCAGAGGGGTTCTGAGAGGGAAGCTCTGGGACACTGGAGGAGGTGGTTTCTCTGGCCACTGTGTTTGCCAGTATGTAGGGAGGGGAGTTCCCAAGGTGGTCCCCATCTCCACAGCACTCTCTCTCTCTCTTTCTCTCTCTCTCTGGGTGGCTGGCTGCTCGAATCTGCCTGGTGCTGCCATGCTTGCAGGAGCTTTCTGGAGCATTCCGGAGCATTCCTGAGCAGCCTTTCTCTCCATACAGATGGGGGACGAGAGCCCCAGAGTTCAAGAGGGATTGCAGGTCGGTGTCTCAGAACCCCCAGGCCCTTGGGCTGCTCAGTATCTCATCTCTGTGGAGCTGGTCGTGACCCAGCTGTCTGCTTCTTTTTCTCTAGTCCAGTTCTGGCGGGGCCACACAGGGATCAGGTACAAGGAGCAAAGGGAGAGCTGTCCCAAGCATGCTGTTCGCTGTGACGGGGTGGTGGACTGCAAGCTGAAGAGTGATGAGCTGGGCTGCGGTAAGGGGGCTGGGTGCGGGCGAGCGTGTGCCTGTGCGTGTGTGTGTGTACATGTGCATGTGTTTGTGTGCCTGTTTGTATATATGTGTGTGTAGGCATGCCTGTGTGTGTGTATGTGTGTGTGTGTGCATGCATGTGTGTGTGTGTGTGTATGTGCGTGTTTGTGTGTGTGCATGTATGTATGTGGGCATGTGTGCATGTATGTAATCCAGACCCAACGATTCCCTGTCCATTGCCTCCCATTTGAGCTGATACACAGTTTGCACCAGTCTGCAACACTCTGGTGACTTTGCCTTGGCTCTGTCCAAGCTAGGCATCCTGGGCTTCTGAGTACTGGTTGACCCCCCATGACCCAGGCCACGTTCCTGGACTTTTCCCAGGCCTCAGCAAGGAGTGCCGTCAGGACAGGCGCTTCTCAGAGCCTCACTCAGCCCATCTAAGAGCTTGATGCTTCCTAGGTGCTGAGGACCTGCTCTGCCTTTTTCTTGCCCTGCAGTGAGGTTTGACTGGGACAAGTCTCTGCTTAAAATCTACTCTGGGTCCTCCCATCAGTGGCTTCCCATCTGTAGCAGCAACTGGAATGACTCCTACTCAGAGAAGACCTGCCAGCAGCTGGGCTTCGAGAGGTAACCCCCAACCCGGCCCCAGAGTCCAGGCTTCAGGGATGCCCCAGGCTCTTCATAGGGCCTCTCAAGCATGTTGCAGAAACGTTGTATTAAAAAGACCCTTGGGGACCAGGGCTGATCTCACTGGTTCTGGACACCCTCAAGCTATTCAGAGTCAGAAGCCCTGAGATCCTCTGAGTCTGGAGCAAATTGTTTTCATGAGGCCAACATAGTGATGTATAGATCTGCAATAGTATCGGACTCCTAGATGGTTCTTTGCCTCAAAGCACCCTGACATCCATTATCACATTCACCATCGCGGTGGTGGCCCTACGCCTTGGGTAGGCATTTGGGCAGATCATTTCTTCTTATATTAGGGAACTAGAAGCTCGGGTTGTGCAAAGCCGTTCAGTGGACCTCGAGCTATAGCTACCGTGGCTTGAGCCAGACCTCATCAAACGGAGAATGAAATGGGCCAGGTGAGGCCAGGCAGAATCATAAGGATCTTTGGCTCTAAAGATTTTAAACAAATCAGGCAGTGTTGACAGGTAGAGGAAGGAGTAGGTGAGCAATGACTTTCCACTTTGAAGAAGTGCCTGATTTTCAGCCCAGACACACATCTCCATCCTCCCTCTTGGACTGAGTTTTCAAGATGGGTAGTTCGGGGTTTGTCAGTGTGTGAGGTCGTGGGGAGAAGAGTTTAAGATCTCACTGTGGGTTCTCTACAGAAGAAGCACCAAAAACACCTGGGGTGGGGGGTTAGGATTTAGAACTAGTTCTCTACCCCACCCCAGCCTGTCCAGATCCACAAAAGCGGGATCAGAGTAATCCAGATGGAAGACCATGGGCATCTTTTATCCACAAGTTGTGTGTGTGGCCTTATGCAAGCCTGAACCTCCCTTGGGCATTCAGGTCTTTGAACGCCACGTATTCAAAGAATATTCATTGAGCTTTTATTATGTGTTACATACTGTGTAGTACCTGGACACAAAGGATTAAGACAGGAGCCCAGGCTTGAAGGACCTCTAGTGTGGCTCAGTGAGACAGGCTTAAACCAATAACCACAGTATGATGTGATGTGTAATGATAAGGATGTGTGTGAAGCACCAAGGGCACACAATGGAGAGGGTGCCTAACTGCACTGGTGGAGAGAGCAGAAAAGGGAGGAACGGGCCCTCTGGGTAGAGGAGCCGCATATGCAAAGTGTCATGCCAGGGTGTCACGCAGGGGTGTACCATGTTCTAGAAATATACATAAATTCCATGTAGAGAGTAGAACACATTAGAATCACCTGCCATGCTTGTGAAAATGCATCTTGGAATCAGAATCTCTGGGATGAGGACTTAAAACCTGCTCAGCAAACATCCCAAGGTGATTCTTAGGCACACTGTGTTCTGAATCCACGAGGCTTGCCCCGAGGTTGTCACGCTTTAATGTACAGCTCAGTAACCTGGGATTCTTTAAAATGCAGACTCTGATTCAATAGGTCTGGAGGGTGCTGCTGCTGCTTATTCATAGATCGCAGTTTGGATAGAAAAGGGCTAGATTGGTGTTTGTCAAACTTGAGTGTGCATCAGCATCACTAGAGAACCTGTTAGAACGATGATCGCTGGGCCCACACCCAGTTTCTGATTCAGAAGTATTGCTAATATTAATAACTTCCCAGGCAATGGTAACGCTACCAGTCTACACTCTGAGAAACGCTGGGTAGTGCACAGGGCTGGGGGTCTTGGAGGGGAGTTGGGGGAGATGGGGGCAGTGGTGGAATATGTGGGTGGGGCTGCACTTTATCGGGCCTTGACTGCTGCTTGGAGGAGTTGGCCACCATTCAGACCATCACAGTCTGGCCTCTGTCAGCAGGGCTGGTGGGGCTCTAAGCCTACTGGAGGACTTGGGATGACCCTGTCTCCAGGGGACTCATTCTTCTCCCCTCTCCTCCCTTGTAGTGCTTACCGGACAACCGAGGTTGCCCACAGGGATTTTGCCAACAGCTTCTCAATCTCGAGATACAACTCCACCATCCAGGAAAGCCTCCACAGGTATGGTGGGGCAGGCAGGCTGCCTGTTTGTGAGCAGGGGAAGGAGTGAGTGGGAGGGGGGCTTTGAGTCAGGGAGCCCCCTTCCCTGGCTTTTCTGGGATCCAGCCTCCAGGAGTCCACCATGAGTGTTCAGGGGCATCTCGGAAACAGTCCTTATTCACCAAACTGCCTCCTGACTTAAAAATTACTGTTTGAGGCTCAGTGCTGAGAGCAACTGGAGACCGGGGTGCCCCTGAGAGTTTACCTGGTCGTCAGCGGCAATTCACGAACCTTGGGACCTCCAGTCAACCAGGTGTTTGAACTGAGAGCTGCTGCAGGGAGTGGACCTGAACTGGGGCGGGAGAAGCATCACTGGGGTTAGGGACAGGGTAGAGAAGCAGCAGTAGGGGACTGCCAGGTGCAGGCGTCAGGGACAGGGAGGGCCATGTGGGAAGCATCGGAGGTTTGGGGGCTCTGCCAGCTGGCATTGTTTGCCCTGCAGAGGGCAGAGAAGAAGCCAGGCTCCAAGAGAAGTAATGGTGAGGGAAGGGACGTGAATTTGCTGCATCTGGATGCCTGCTCTGTGCTGCGTGGTTTCTGCATCTGCATTGAGGAACTGTGTCAGAGGAGCACCAGGCCATCTGTTTAGCCGTGAAAAGATGCTGGGACAATGAAGTCCGAAGTTCAAAGAACATGGATCTGGGCCAATGTCTGCAATCTGCCACAAGAAAACTAGTTGAGGGGATGAGAGTGTTGATTTGCACTGAACCACTGCCATTCTGGACAAAGCACTGGAAGGGAGAGTGTCACACGTGAAGGAGAAGCTCAGAATCTCCTGCTTCCTGTGCAAAGAGTAGCTTCCTTGGAAACAGGATAGGAACTGAGCAGGAATCAATCAGGAAGGCTTCCTGGAGGAGGTAGCTAATATACCCTCCCACTTTCTGTGTCTCCTCCTGCAGGTCTGAATGCCCTTCCCAGCGGTATATCTCTCTCCAGTGTTCCCGTAAGATATTCTTCTTCTTGGATTGTGGCCAATGTCGTGTGGGAGTAAAGGGCAGAGGGGCAGAACTCCTCCAAGGGAGGTGTTTGGCACTGGGGTTCAAGTCAGGAACAGTGTCTTAGTCAGCAGGCCTGCTTCAGGGCTGGAGTCCCTGTAAGGCACTGGTACACCCAGGATAACATTTCCCCTTCTCCTGACTCTGGCAGGGGCTCAGCCCAGCAACCTCTTATTCCAAGGAAGCGGTCTGAGTCTCCCGTGCATCAGGGGAAGTGTATTCTTCCTATGTTTAGAAACAATAGAGACCCTCATTATAATGCTTGTCAATTCAGGGTGACGTTAGAACTGGTCTGTGTTCCTGTGCTCCTAATGGCAGTCCTGGGACTTACCATCACGATCCCAATGCCTGGCACAATGCCCAAAGCTTGGGACACTTAGAAAGCATTTGTCAAATCAATGAAAGAATGAGTGAAGGAGAAGAAAGAAGAACCTGCCTGGGGTCAAACTTCCCACTGAATGATCCCAGAAAGCCACCCCACCATGTGGTGGCAATGCTCTCACGGGAACTGCTGTGTGTAGCAGATAAGGGAGCAAAGCTCATCCATGGGAGGGTGGGTGCCCTTCAGGACGGGGCTGCCTGAGCCTGTCCTGGCCCTGGGAGCACGGCAGAGGCATTCTGATCAGGAGCTCGGAAAGAACCCTGGGAAAAGGAGGGTTCATAGTACGTCTACCCCTTCTCCCCAGACTGCGGACTGAGGGCCATGACCGGGCGGATCGTGGGAGGGGCGCTGGCCTCGGAGAGCAAGTGGCCTTGGCAAGTGAGTCTGCACTTCGGCACCACCCACATCTGTGGAGGCACGCTCATTGACGCCCAGTGGGTGCTCACTGCCGCCCACTGCTTCTTCGTGTAAGTGCCTGAGAGGCAGGTGATTTGACACTGCCCAGGGTCAGGGACCGCCAGGAAGGGCTGGCTGCAGACTGACTTCTTCGTGGAGGAGGACTCTGAGTGTGAGTCCAGCCCCCATGGGCCAGTTGGCACTGGTGTAGCTTGGGTATTCACTTGGTCCTGAGAGTATGGATCGGGGGTGTTTGTTCTGAGCTAGGCCCAAGGATGAGAAAGTCCCATTGATGGCCCCAAGGGAGAGAGAGAGGCAGGCAGGAAAAGGGACTAGGAGCCGACCCCTGCAGAACAGGGTGAAATGCAAAAGGCTTTGGGTTTGTTGCTGCTTCCTGCAACTGGAACTCATAGCAGAGGAGCCCCTAGTTATCCCAGAAATTGAGGGCTAGGGATTGCAGAGAGAGCACTGTATCAGCTTTTAACAGTCACCAGCTGACCTAGTGTCTGGGGGTGCACAGCCCAGGCTGGTGGGCAGGAGAGATCTCTCAGACCAGGCCTCAGGGGCACTGGCCTCTCTAATAATGAGTTCAGCATGTTACTTTGCCCTGTCTGAATTTGCTGAGGGTAATAATACTGAGATCTTATCAGTACAAGCCCTTGACCCTGCCCGGTGAGTGAATCTGTGCCCCCTATCCCTAGTCCCAGCACCTTCTGCAGCCCTGTGACTTGCCAGCATCTGTCAGTTCACATCGAGGCCCCAGAGCTTCAGCATGGCAAAAGTCAAAGACTCTTATTTGATCCTTGGTGACTTGCAGAGGAGATAGTGGGGGGTGAGTGCCACACAGAGGTCTTACTCATCATTCCCTCTTTATTACTGTAAGGTGCAGAGCTGCAAGCTCATAATTTTTGAGGGGCTATGGGGGATTGCTTTGGCTCCAGGGATAAGATAGAGGGTTCCCTCCAGAGGTCATTTTATCCATCCTCCTGCCTCCAAGCTGGTGCTCTGACTGTGGCTCCTGTAGGTAGCAGATGCTGCCAGTGAACGCTGCCAGGCAGGTACTGGACCATGCTCCTTTGTGGCTCTTGCAGGACCCGGGAGAAGGTCCTGGAGGGCTGGAAGGTGTATGCAGGCACCAGCAACCTGCACCAGTTGCCTGAGGCAGTCTCCATCGCCGAGATCATCATCAACAGCAACTACACCGACGAGGAGGACGACTATGACATCGCCCTCATGCGGCTGTCCAAGCCCCTGACCCTGTCCGGTGAGTGAATCTGCACTCCCCGCTCTCCTGTCCCCCAGCCCCAGCACCCTCTGCAGCCCTCGCGCTTGCCAGCATCTGTCAACTCATATCTGGGCCCCAAAGCTTCTGCATGGCAGAAGTCAAGACTCTTAAAGATCCTTACATGGAACACTTCTGTTGTATAATTAGGGAAACTGAAGCCCAAGGGCTATAAATAACTTTGCTCCAAATGAAACATCTCACATTACAAATTGATGACAGAGTCAGGGCTTGGGTACTGATCTTAATCAATAGATTGAATTCTTTCACTGGTATTAACTGAGCACCTAGAGGCCGAACACTATGGTAGGCATTTTACACATAGGATTTCATTTACTCTTCACAACCAACCCTGTGGAGCAGGTACTATTATTAACTTCATTTGACATATGAGGAAATGGAACTTTACAGAGAGATAATTACCCGAGGCCACAAGTAATAGGTGGTAGCTCTGGGACTGGAACTAGGTCGATCTGATTCCCAAGCAATGCTCTCCCCACCTGGCTCTAGACTGGCAAATTGCTTACCCTGCAGTCGAGAACATAAGCTGAGTACACACTCAAACAGCTAATTGCTACAACGTTGTTGCCACGGACCAAATGAGGCCACACAAAGGAAATGCAGAGGTTCTCAGATGATCACTGTGGACAGGGGACCTCAAAGAAGACTTCATTCATTCATTCATCCATTCACTCATCTGTTCACTTATCAAATACTATGCGTCTACTATATTGTCAGTCCTATAGTACAGTTGCAAATAGAAATAAAATGGGTGACATACACCAAGATGACCAGTAGAGGTCAATTATGCGATGTTTTGGGTGAGCGGGGAGCTATGGTGGCACAGGCGGGAGCAACTAATCATCCTGGGGAAGCTCAGCAGAGGAAGGATAGTCAAGGTGGGTCCTGAAAAGATTGGAGAAGACAGGTAATGGAGGCTCAGGGAGGACCCTGAAGAATGGAGCCAGAGCCCCCTGGCATAAGCAGTTTTACAGGTGGGAAAGGGAGGAGGAGTACCGGGACTTCTGGAAGCCTTGGAGGACTCTCCGGTTAGTCTAGCCATTCTCGTGCTCTGAGCTTGGGAGCTGGTGTTTCCTCGCACATTAATTGTGGAGGCGGTGTCTATCACGAGTCAGAGCAGTTAGATCATCAGAGTGGGGTGAGGAGGAGGATCCCTGGGAAGAGCTCGGTTGGGCAGCGCTAGCCCAGAACCACGCCCACGCAGCGTCACTCCCACTCGTAGCCACGCCCTGACACGACACGCCCACCAGCCCTTCTGCAACTCCAGCCCTGTCTGTGGAGCCCTGGGCTGAGGTGAGGGATGCCCGCTGCCCCCTGCCCTGCCGCTCAGCACACAGGAAGAGCACAGTCTGCAGGACCAGAGCAGGCCTTCTCACCTTGTCAAACCCGGGCTGTATTTGGCTAAACATCCAAATCTTACCTCTCACTCACCCTCCACTCCTTAATATTATTTGGAATTCTAAAACTAAATAATTTCTAAAACCGAATGAAAGCTAGTTTCACATTGCGTATGCTTTTCAAATAGGCTCTGATAGGCTTTTGGGCAGGAAGCAGACCCTTAGTCTGAGAATCACAGCTCAGATGTATGTAGTCCTGTGGCCAGAACATGTGCCCTGATGTTTGGTTTAGAAATCAGTGCAGATTTTCTTAAACTCATTTGGCAGGTAGAGCACTAGAAGTCACAGTACTTTCGTTTGTGAAAGTTCACTGGTAAATTTAATTTCCCCATAAAAAACAGTGAAATATATAACAATGGATCATATATCAGTGTTACATGTTTTTAAAACTTTACATCTCAAAAAGGGGCAGAGAAAAGAAATCCTATTTTGCATTTTTGTTAATAATGCATGCTATTCCTTCATCTATTTTTTGTTTACTCTCTAGCAGACAAAACTAGGGTAGACACCAATGTTTAAAGCCTAATCCAATTTATGGGAGAAAAATTTAAAATCATCCTTCCCATCTACCCTTCCTGCCTTCTCTCTCTCTCTCTCTATCTCTCTTTTTAAACATTTAGTGAGCACTGAATATGTGACAGGCATTATCTTAGGTGCAGAATACTGCAGTGAATATAACAAATGGTTGAGAATACTGCAAACATTCTATCAACTAATATTTTCCTCCTGCAAACTCAGGTGTGGTGGTCAATGCCCTGGTCGCCCTAGGGACACCAGTCCTCAGAGCTTATGAAGTGATACATAACAGTGACTTCTAAATATAATATTTCTGAGTGTGGGATCAAGTTAGCAGGAATTCTGTGGTCTGTGTCTCTAGGAATGCGTTTCCTGTTTGGAGAGATTTCTTACCTTGTGCTGGGCAAACATTTGGAGGGAGAGCCACAGGCCCTGGACAACCAGTGGGTACCCTCGCCAGACCAGGCTGGACATACTGCTGAGATGCAACGGTCATAATATCTGGGTCTTAGCCTGCTGCTGTTCCTTGTTCTAATGGAAAGACATGGAAGAGGCTCTGCCAGGAGAGACCCTCTTTGTGGGGAGAGACCCTCAGTTGCCCAGTATCAGCTTGTACAAGGGAGCTTCCAAGGCGTATGCATCTGACCACAGGGCAACCACTGAAATCAGAATGGCTTTCAGCCTCTGGTAGCCCCCAAAGGCTGGTGGGTTTTGATAAAGTGATCGAGTTTTGTGTCTGGTCAGTCCAAGGTTCTGGAGGATTCAGAAGCACTCTAGAGTCAAGGATGAATGTTCTAGGAGCCTCCTCCTTGCCCCCAGAGTGGCTCTGCTCCTTCTTCCTCCCCATACTGAAAGTCTCAGCCTTGTTCCTTCACTGACATCTGGAGGTCTTGTTGCAGCTCACATCCACCCTGCTTGCCTCCCCATGCATGGACAGACCTTTAGCCTCAATGAGACCTGCTGGATCACAGGCTTTGGCAAGACCAGGGAGACAGATGGTAAGCGGCAAAGATGCTTGGTTGTGTGTGTGTATTCATGTGCATGTGTGTGTATACATGAGTGCGTGTAAGCAATGTGTCTGGGTATACAGATGAGGGCCTATGTCGGTGAGAGTTTGGGTATACAGATTCATGGGCCTGGGTGTGAATATGTGTGTATAGACACCTGAGTATATGCCAGTGGGGTCGCTGTGACAATGCCTTCCGATCAAGACCACCTAGAAAACTGCTGTGGTTGAACCAGTTGAGTTCATTGCTCATTGCAGTGAGAGAGAGCACACCATGAAGAACCATAGAGCATCTCAGCAACAGCGTGTCAGAGAGGACTGCTCATAGGATTTAGGTGGCTTGGGGAGGGTTCAAAGACGTAGGACTTTTCTCTAAATTGGATGGTGTCAGGAAGCAGGGGTTACTCTGTGACGGGGAAGCTTAATAACCTTATCTAGAGTCCGGGCACGGTAGCTTGCACCTGTAGTCCCAGCACTTTGGGAAGCCAAGGTGGGAGAATCACTTGAGCCCAGGAGTTCAAGACCAGCCTGGGCATCACGGCAAAACCCCATCTCTACAAAAAATAGAAAAATTAGCTGAACATGGTGGTGTGTGCCTGTAGTCCCAGCTACGAGAGGGGCTGAGGCAAGCGGATCACCTGATCCCAGGGAGGTTGAGGCTGCAGTGAGCCATGATCATGCCACTGCACTCTAGCCTGGGCGACAGAGTGAAACCCATCTCAATTAAAAAAAAAAAAAAAAAATTATCTAGGAGCTCTAAGCGGTCAGGAAGCAGCAGTCACTCATATTGACCAGGAGAGGGGGATGTTTGGTACTGTTGTGATTTGCAGATGCCCTTGTCTTTGGCCTTAAACAAGATGATGAAGTGGTCTTGTTTTCATGTCATCCCAATCACAGAGTGCCTTGTCCTGTGAGATGGCTTACTTTGAGCAGGATGACCCCGCAGTTAGACTCAGGGCACTGCCATGCGTTGGGACTGCTTTTCCCTCCCTCCGTGAGGCAAAGCGATGACTGATCTGGGCACAGCCTTCTCATCTTGTCTCTATACTCTACTAGCTGTGTGACTGTGGGCAGGTCACTTCTCCAGCCCCAGGCTTCCCCACCTGTAAACGGATTAATGCCATCTGCTCTCTTTAGGGCACATAGCTTCCAAAAACAAACAAAGCCATGTATCTGAGGGTGCTTTAAACATAGGCAAGTGCCGTGCAACATGTCGCGTAGCCTGATAGGCTTGTGAGTATGTCTGTGTACATGGATGTCTCTGTCTCACGTGCAGCGAGCTGTGTCTTGTGTGAGGGCATGTGTGCCAATATGCCCTGGGTGTCCAACCACAGAGGGCCTCCCTTGGGTCGGAGCCAGGCACAGGCATGGCACCCTCCATTCCCAGGAGGCTGTGATTCTAGGTCTTGGGGTGGCAGCTGGACCACCAGGAAGCTATCCAGAATCTCACTGGCTTTCCATCCTCTGTCTCCTCCACCCCACTTCACTGAAGACAAGACATCCCCCTTCCTCCGGGAGGTGCAGGTCAATCTCATCGACTTCAAGAAATGCAATGACTACTTGGTCTATGATAGTTACCTTACTCCGAGGATGATGTGTGCTGGGGACCTTCGTGGGGGCAGAGACTCCTGCCAGGTGAGGGTACCTGTGGGTGGGGCTCAGGTCCCAGCACCCTGGGGATGGGGGAGGCTGGGGTGTTGGGGCTGATGTGGGAATTGGGACCCCACCCTTTTCTGCTCACGGACTACCTGTCCCATCCTGCACATGTGCCCTCTCTCCCCTGTAGGGAGACAGTGGGGGGCCTCTTGTCTGCGAGCAGAACAACCGCTGGTACCTGGCAGGTGTCACCAGCTGGGGTACAGGCTGTGGCCAGAGAAACAAACCCGGTGTGTACACCAAAGTGACAGAAGTTCTTCCCTGGATTTACAGCAAGATGGAGGTAAGATCCCTGCACCAGGACACTGCACCCAGCAGGCTGGGAACTTCCTAAGGTGGGGACCCTGGAGGAGCACCCAGGGTGTAGGCAGAGATCCCCTCAGCAGTCTCGTATTCGGGGGTATTCTGGACAGGGTCAAACGTGATGCCTGGGGTCAATCCCAGCTGCCTGTGTTTCTTTCCCTGCTTTTCTTCCCTCAGAACAGAGCTCAGAGGGTTGCAAAAGGGTGGGCCTAGAGGCTGGGCAGGCAGTTGCTAGGCAGATATTCCCCCAGAAGTGATTTTTTGTGTAAGGTTGCAATGGACTTTGAAAACGTTTCAGTTTCTGCAGAGGATTTTGTGATAGTTTTTGTTGTCAAGCATTTATGCATGGGAACCCGCTCTTCATGGCCTTTCCCAGCTCTGTTTGTTGGAGTCTTTTTTATTTTCTTTTTGTTGTCGTCGTTGTCTTTTTTAAAAAACACAAGGGACTTCATTTGGACTCTGACAACTTTCACAGCTGTCACCAGAATGCTCCCTGAGAACTACAATTCTTTCCCTTTCCCACTTAAAATATTTCAACAGCACCTCACTACTATCGTAAAAGAGTATAAAGTAATAAAATAAAAACTTCTTTTATGTTTTTTGACTTGCTTTAACCTATGTCCAGCCTCAGAAGTCATTGTTCAGGTCAAACTGAACCACAAACTCTTCGGTGTGTGCCTTACCTTGCCCTTGGCCTTTGGAATACTTGATCCACCCTAGAGAGTCCCCTCTCCCACTTCCACCCTCTCATCTTCCATTTTTCTTACTGAAGAACTCTGACTGATCTATCAAAATCAGCCGTTTACAACCCCTGGAATATCCTCAGTATATTTACTATGTATTGTTATAAATGAAGGATGAATGAATAAACAAATAAATGTAAAGAATAAAAGGTGGGCCTAACCTCGGTGCCAGCCCCAGTGCCACTCTCCTCTCCCAGGGATGACCGAGGTGTGAGTTCACACAGGCCACTGGAGGTGGAGTGATGGGAGGCCTCGCTCCACGGCAGGAATTTGGACATCAGGAACCAGGGATCTGCCTGCAACTCTGCTGACCCAGTTGAGACCCTGCCTTCTCTGGGCCTTCAGCCTTTAGCTGTAAAGCAGGGGTTGCTCTGCCAGCCCTCCCCTTCTCTGCCTGGGGAACAGGGGAGGGCTCACACAAGGGGAGCAGGGAAGGCTCCAGAAATCTAGTGCAGAGAGGCCCTCCAAGCCTGCATCCATCCTTTCCTTTTACTGTCCCTCCTTGGAGAGGCAGTGCCAGGTGACAGCTGGGCTAAATTATAGGTTCTGAACCCCAACCTTGGGCTTCTGCGCTCCCCGCCCACCCAGCCCACCATCACCTTCTTCTCCCGTTCTCTTCCTCAGAGCGAGGTGCGATTTGGAAAATCCTAACCAGCTGGCCTGCTGCTCTGCACAGCACCGGCTGCTGTGAAGACTCTGGCTACAGTGACTGGCCATGTGTGGCATCATCTGGGCTAATGGGCACCAGGCACCATCGGACTCTCACCTCCACTGTCTGCTCTCTGTGTGTGTGTGTGTGTGTGTGTGTGTGTGTACATAGTGTGCATTGCCACTCTCGAGTTTTTCAGAAACCAGCAGAGCTGTCAACTCTTCTCAAAATCCCAGGCTGGAAATTACCTGGAGATAAGAGCCTGAGTACTGTGGATGTTCCTACAGGGGTGTCCATAGATGGATGGAGGAGGTGGAGCCCAGAGCCCAAGGAAGGGCCTGGAATTCTTGCTTCTCTGACCCTCACTTACAGACTAGCCCAGTGTGGACAGATGCCAGCAACCCAGGTGACGCCATTGCTGTCCCGGGATGGATCGCGGGTTTTGGTGGATGCAGCTTCCCCGTGCCTGGACTGTCTTCTGTGGAAAGCTGCTCCCGTTGTCATTATGAGCATCGAACCCTCACCCAGACCTCCTGCTGGAGCCGTAGATGTCCGCAGCTGAGCTGTGCTGTGGCTAACCAGGCTGACAACGGAGATGAGGATTCACTCTACTCATTTGGTCACAAGCTGCTGGGGCGGGTTTTATTTTATTTTATTTTTATATTTAAGAAATGAAAATACGGGTATTTTTAAAGATTCTCCAAAAACTCCAGGAGCCTTGACAGCTAGCATCAATCAGCCCGAGACCCCCAGGGGACTCCTGGGAAGTGTCATATTTTAAGAGTCCTACAGAATATTTCTGGCCTCAAGGGACTGGATGAAGAGACTGGACTGAGTCCCCAGGATGGACATCTCCCAAGTCACTACAGCATCTGGAGCCCCTAGGAGATACTCAGGGAAGCAAATACTCTTTTGGACTGGCAAGCAAATCTGACATGACGAGGTCCACAAACTGTTTCTGCATCCAAGGGCCCTGACAAAGGCATGAAGAAACGGATGCTGTTCCTGCATAGGCTCCCAAGGGCCCCAGGGAGGTCCAGGTGGAGAGCATCTCTCATTCCCAGGGACTGTCCTGGGACTTTGGAATTTCTTCTCAGCTTTCTCTACCTTTCCATTTCTCAGTTGTTCCGGAAACATAATACTGACATAAAAACTGCCATGGAGAGAAACCTAACGTGGTCCCAGGCCCTCTAGGCAGCCCTTCTGAAGGATCCGAGTTGACCATGTTCCTGCAAATCATCAGTGTGCCTGGACTCACCAGTAAAAGCCTGGGCCTTCCGCAGCCTTTTCTCTGGGGCAGCTATTCCTCTGCCAGCCGTGCTCCCCTCACCTTCCTTGGGCCCGTCAGGGTCTTTTGTGGTGCTATGTTTCTCAGAGGCAGGATCCAAGCAGATCAACCCAGCCTAGCCCAGCTCAGGCAGGCCGTGGCCGCTCAAGGGAAAGACTGCCCCAGAAGAGCAGGCTGGAGAGGCTGGGCAGGGGCTCATGGGGCTAGGTACACTGGGGAATGTTAGCAAGACTGGCAAGGTGGCCACATTCCTGTCTGCAGCAGCCCCCAGTGATGGTCTTCAGCAATAAAAGTTGTGTGACCTGAGATATCTGTCTTTGGATGTTTTACTGGTACCCTAGGTAACAAATTGAGGTTGCCCACCCTAGTGCCCAGACACTCTTGGTTTTGGTTCTTGGTTTTGGTTCCTCGTCTCTGGGTTCTGCTCATTTAGCCATACATTCATGTATTCATCCATTCACCAACAACATCCCTACCTACTCTGTGCCGGGGACTCATACTAGGCCCAGAAGATACAAAGGGCATGACAGATCCTCAAGGAACTGGGTCATGACCCAATGTGATGGAAGCTGTGATTGAGTGTGGACACCATGCTTGGAACATGCTCAGAACAACCACCAGCCACACCTAGAGATGTCAAGGAAGCTTCTCAGAAGAGGTCAGGTTTGGAATAAACCTTCACAAAGCAGGTGGGGGCAGGGGAAGGGCCCTCCAGGGCATGTTCTTACCCTCTTCCTCTTCCTCCACTTCTGCCTTTGCTGGCTCAACAACAGGTGTGTTGACAAGGAAGCCCCAAAGCTTACTCAGCTATTTCCAAGAGAATCAGATGGGTGGTCCCACTGGCCTCTTCTGAACAATCTACCCCTTCTTGCTTTGCACTTTTCCTGTGTTTACCATATTGACTTCAACCATTATGAGCCCACTGGTGAATCCTCAGCTCTACCTCCATACCCCCATTCATCAGCGGGCTCATAGTCCCCAGCACACCAGCCACAAGCACAGAATTCTCCAGGTTTCCCCAAACGCATCCAGCCTCTGGACACCCTGAACTTGATTGCTTTAGTCTTTCATATCAACGCCAGGGAAAGTCCTTCTTTTGATTCCTTTCTTGCTCCATGTGCACAAGAAGGTATGGGGGAGGAGGCAGGTGCCACGCTTACTATATTCCTAGGAGGGGTGACACTGACTGTAATAGATCCCACAGTTGCTCACCATTTCAATGGTTTAACCTAATTGAAGTTTGTTTTGCATCCATGTAACAGTGCAGTTAGGGTGTTCTGATCAGAGGGAGACTTTCTTCCACAAGCTTTTTCCATCTTGGGAGTTTGTCATCCACATTGTTGTCTACTTCTAGCCAGAAAGAAAATATAAAAAAAGATTCATTCAGTCCTTAAGTGCTCTAGCCCAGAAGTCATTTCCACTGACATTTTATGGATGCGGACATGTCATATGTGTCATGTGGCACCATCTAGACAAAGTTGGGCTGGGAAAGGCAGTCCTTGGCAGATTCCCCTGCAGGAGACAGCACTCATTTCAGAAGACAACCAGCCATGTCCACTCACCATAGGAAGGTGGCTGCATCCTCAGAAGCCCGGCCTGGGCAGAGACTTAGGGCTTAGGCCATTTCTGTTTCTTTCCCCTTAGAAAGCAGACACTTTCCCTTCTCTCTCAGGGGATTCCTAGGACATAAATTGATTGGCAGGGGTGTAAGGGTATGGGAACGGGACGGGGAAATGAGGTAGAGAAAAAGCAGGATCTGGATGGAAAAAGAAAAATACATTCCTTTGGCCCAGGATATCTGTAGAGGCTACAAAAAATATAGATGGAGAGGGGAGATGGGGCATTCTAAACTGGCCAAGAATCTCCAGGGAATTGTGTGTGTGTTTTGGGCAGGGAGGGAGTTGCAGTGACATTGTCCTGTGTCCCTGGAGCCTAGGCACCTCCAAGTACCAGCCATGCCTTCTGGCTTTGTCGACTCTATTGACTGCTGCATTTCCACATAATTTCCTGGGAAAGGAGTGCCAAGTGAGTGTGCTGGGCAGGAGGAGGAGGAGGCTGTTGTGGGAAGAGATGATGGCTCTTTGCAGAAGGAGCCACTTACAGCCTAGCAGGTGTCCCAGCTGCCTCTGGGCTTTGGTTAGATTCCCAGGGACCATTCTTCCCCATAATCGCTTAGCTGTGGTCCTGATGCAATTGGGTGGACATGGGGACACGCATATGGAGTCCCCGTGAACGCCATGATGAGGACAATGATAGTAATAGCCAGCGTTTGCTAAACGTTTGCTGTGTGCCACATGCTGTGCTGGACACCTGATGTATATTATCTCCTGCCAGCACAAGAATCCCATGAAGTGGGCATTGTCATCATTCCTAATTTACAGATGAGGAAACAAAGGCCAAGAGAAGTGAAATAAGCCTTCCAAACTGCACGACTGCTGCATGGCAGAGGTGGATTTGAATTCAGGCTCTGACATTCAGCTGCTCTTTTATACTCTGCACCAGAGTCAGGTGGAATCCTCCCAACTGGGATCTCATAGGCTCTGCTGTCTGGCTCTGTGTATCTTTCCAGGAGTGGCAGGGTGAGACAACTCCCCAGAGAAGGCTGGGCGCACCCATCAGAGTGTGGCATGACCAGAGGCTTAAACCATGCGGTTTCTGGAAACTTGGACAAGTGCATCATGAGTGGGAGGAAGCCATTCTCCACCCCGGTCCCAAGTGGATAGTTTCTAGGAGGCTCTGTCAAGTCACAACAAGCTGTCACCCAGGACACCTCCAAGTCTCCTTGATGTAGGTGGATGACTCTGAAAGGAACATACCATTCATTCTCCATCTTCTGCGCACTGGCCCAGGCTTCCTGTCCCTAGGAAGGCTGCCACCCAGTCCAGGAAGTAAGTGCGCTATACCGATCTTACAGTGGGTCCTCCCAGAGAACAGGGAGGACTGTGCTCAGGAGATAAACAGCCCTGGACCTTCCGGGACAGGAGGTCTTGTTAGATGAGACCTCTAAGAAAGGTGAGGGCGTGGCCTGGTCTATGGCCCTCCACTGCTCACTCCTGCCAATGGGACATGGGAGGTGGACATAACAGGAAGCCTTCTCTGTCCAAGCCCTGAGTCCCAGAAAAGGTTCTTTACTTTTCATACAAGGAAGGGTCTGGGAATCTGCTTTGAATAATTCCTTCTAATTACACTGTGTTGTAGCAGAGAGAGCTCTGGGAGTTGGAATCGAAGTACCTGGAGGTACAAATTCCAGCTCTACTACTTACTTAGCTATGTGGTCTTAGACAAACCATCCTCTCTGTTTTTTCATATGTAAAATGGGTGTATCCAGCCTACATTTGTTGTGAGATTAAATGGGATGATCCATATAAACATGCAGAACAAAGTGATTGGCACATCATGACTCCTCTGCAGATGTTGAATTCGCAGTGAAAGGGTCAGATCCTTCACCCCCAGGCGCTTCATCAGACACATGACATGGGAGACAGAATTTTGGATAAATCTTCGAGTCCTAGGAAATTTGCGAGGTCTCTCCATAAACTTTGTTCCTAGGCTTTTAGCAATGAACTGATCCTCCACGGAGGTGACGCTACCACCTAGGCCAGGTGGACATTCCCAGCTGGTGGTCCCTCTAAGTTGTGGTGTTCCATGACTTAGAGGAGCTCACCCTGTTCTCTCTTATCACTGACAGGGCCAGGAAAGCTGCCTGACCCTGGA